TGTGGTCGGGTAGCAGAGAGCCCTCACGCCGATCGCTTTACGGTTCATAATTCAGATATGGCAATTCCTGCCCATCTCGTCTTTGTCAGTAATGCTATTCTGCCAAACGTTCGTCCGCCCTGTCAAGGGTTCCATCCTAAGCGGATTCCGACCAATCTCTTCCACAGTCAAAGGCATGACTCATTGTAGTTTGAATGAAGGGTTTGAAGATATGAGTGATGTGGACTCCAGGTTTCATGAATTCCATCGTGTTAAAATTCCTTGGCGAGGAAGGGCTGCTTGGAAGTGAAGATGCCAAAAGGGGATGAAAAATGGCAGCCAGACTGGGTTGAGGCGCCCTTCTTTCTACTTACTAGGCTACTTCATTTTCACTACCACATTGCCTGTGTAATTTTTACTTGTGAACCACAACGTGATCCGAGTTTGCTCGCATCGAACTGCTGGTTGACTTACTATGCTCCTAGCACGAGTAATACCTGAAAACCCAGTCAACAATTTTGTGTCGCTCAGCTGTACCCAGACAATGTGCTGTCCGTCCATGCAGCCATGGCCAAAAAGACATGCTGGACAAAGACAAAGGAAGCTGGAATGGTCACTATTAGCTTATCGGCTATCATCAGCCAGCCAGCCAGCCATACCTAAACAACGCCAGGTTTTGCAATACCTAAGGGTCGAACCCACAATCTGTTGTTTTCAAAATACTTCGCCCTAACCACTGAGCGACTGGCTCGTTGTCCTACCGGTTGCGATCGGGCGCTAGCCAATCGCGTTATGGATGAGATGCGTCCCGCTGCATCTTGAGATTCACTCTAGAGTCTCGAGGGCCAACAACAAAAAGATCACTGGGCGCCCAGTTCTAACGTCCGCCTGCTTAAAATGCCTGATGCCCTATTTAGTCCCATCGTCCTAGAAGCAGCGATTTTAATGGAATTACTTTCCTCAGCTTCTTTTCTGTGATCTTACATGGATATGTTACAAAAGTACATGTGAAGGAGCAATCGGGCGTTAAAATAGATTATCCGACAACAGGAATTAAATATCGATTTGTCCTTCTGAGCATTTGGTGTGTACTTTTCTCCTGGGTACTTGATAATATCACTTATTCTGCCTGGTGATTTTCCACTTAGTGTCCTTTCCAGTGCCTTCACGCAGTGGGGCTAACATTAACGAAATACAAAAATACTGCTACTGTCTATTTCTACTACTATGTTTTGTGCTCCAGGATATAAACGGCGTGGCAGCCAATGAGAAGCACGATGGAAATGGCACGCCCGCACCGCAGTCCTACGACATCGATCCAGTCTTGGGTGTTCGTTCGCTCTCCTACTGGCACAAACTCATCAGTCTCATCGTCTCCGTCATCGAGGACGACAAGAAGCACTACGCGCCGGTGCTCAATCAGTAAGTCGGAATCTCACCGGTGATCCTCCCTTCCCCTCCACCTGCCCCTCCCCCCGCCTAGTTTCCCCAGCCACTGTCATCCCCTGCGTGACTTTCTCACAACGAGCCAACGAGAAGGGGA